AAGCAAAATGTCTTACTAATTGCGAGAACTGTCTTATCTCTTATGCTGGTGGTTGTTGCCCTGGAATAGGAGTGAGAGGCAAATGTCCTCAGCTTCAATCTTATCTTGTCTTTGGAGATGTTACAGTGTCACAGACCACTGAAGGTCTGTACTGGGATTGCTGGTGTGAAGAGTTACATTTTCTGCATGCCAGCCACTGGCTCTTATGGTAAGTCACAAAGGGGGACACACTCACAAGTAAATATAGAAAAGCCACCAGAGTAACTCTAAAGCCTGCTCAGCGCCACTTCAAAGTGGTCTTAGTGTCCCCCCACACAGTGTAACATCATGTGACAGGGTCTGGGACACTGTTTCTCTTGCTATGCTACATGCTGATAGTCTCTGGGTTTCCCCAGGTGTCCTTCTATCTGCTGTTGAATTTCAGTGCTGTCTCACAGCCGTTCTCCTCCGTGTGTCACTACATACCTGCTGCTTTTGCTTTGGTTCTGTCCTATTGTTGTGGTTTGTGTCTAGATGCACCCCTCCAAAGCCTCATGTCATCATAAATGGGGCTTTTTCAGAGGTAGCTGGATCCAGAATATGCAACCCTGGGATTCAAGCAGTAAGCACTACACTCAGCTGAGGACACATAGATGGCAGAAAATATAAGGGGCAGAAAGAGGGCCACTATGTTCTCACTTGCCGTTTATCAGGGGCTATTTTTTCTCTGTGATGCCCCTCTGCCATGCCACCCTGCCTTTGCTGTGACCATCATTGGCTCTTGATGTTTCCAGGGGAAGGACCAAGACAGGATAGGAAAATAAAGATGAAAGCTAATGTCAGGAGGTGCCTTCTCCCTCCCAATGAGAGGAAAGGAGCTACTCCCCTAAAGGAATGTGTTTATTTATACATTCAGCAACTTAATATCACGTGACACCCAGTTGCCTAGTAATCTGGGTGTATGGCAACCTAAGGGCTTGATTTTTGGGCCTGAAGTCACTTGTTTCTGTGGCTCTCCCTGGGAGGTCTCTGCTCTCAGACCTGGATTGTCTTTACCCCACAGGTGTGGCCAAATTTCAGCTTCAGCTACTTCCAACCTGCTTTGAAGCCAGCTGATTATGGACTGAAACCTCTACAAACTGTAAGCCAAATAAACCTTTCAACTTCAACTTTGCATATCAGGTATTTTGTCTCAGCAATGAGAAAAGTAAGTAAGACACATGTGAAGGAGCAAGCAAGTGTTGAGGCCTTTATTCTACTGTCTTTCCAAATGCCTTCCAATCGATGAATGAAAAAACTAAATGTGGTGCATTCATACAATGAAATATTATTCACACATATAAAGAAATAAAGGCCTCATGCATGTTGCAACATGGATAAAATTCAAAGTCATTATGGTAACTGAAACAAGCCAGTCACAGATGACACAGGTTATGTATATATGATTCTACTTATATAAATACCTATTTTACAGGACATATTGTCTATAAGTGGTTACTGTGGACTGGGCAAAGGAAAGGGATTTAGTTTGACTCCTTACTGGGTATGGGGTCTGAAACTGTAATAATGCAGAGTTTCAGGAACTGGTTGGTGGTGATGGATGCTCATTAATGTGAATGAACTTAATGCTGATAATTACACATTTTAAAGGTATTAAAATAGCATGTATTGGGGGCTGGGGATTTGGCTCAGCGGCATAAGCGCCTGCTTTACAAGCGTGTGGTCCTGAGTTCGATCCCTGGTACAGGTAAAAATAGAAAAAAAGAAAAAAAAATGGCATGTATCATGTTATGTCTCTATAACTGCAATAAAAATCAGCAAAGGATTATGGACAGACTGTTCTCCACAGATGACCAACAAGAAAACCTGGCCAGTATCATTAGTCATTAGGGAAATAAAAATCAAAAGCACCATTAGCTGCTACGTGTCTTCTGCTAGAAGGTTTATAACAAAAAAGAAAACAAAGAAGAGCAAGTGTCTATCCTCATATATCGTGAGAAGGAAGGACTGGTAAACAGCATAGCTAATTTGGCAACCCTCTGGCTTTTCCTCAAAAAGTTAAACATTGTAAATATTAGCCCAGCAATTCTACTGCTAGATCTACACCCAAAACAAAATAAAGATAAATTCTTCTTGAGACAATATCTCACTATGTGGTGCAAGCTGACCTTGAACTCGCTTATACAGCCCAGGCTGGCCTCAAAGTGATGGTGATCCTCCTGCTGCAGCCTCTCAAATGCTGCAATTACAGCCATGCCCAGTGAAAACTAAAAATTTGTACACAAATGTGAATAGAAGCGTTATTTGTAGTAGCCAGATAGTGAAACTACTGAAATGTCCATCAGCTGGTCAGTGGATGAATAAAATTTATTCCCTCCATAAAACAGATTATCAATCAGATTTAAAATGAAACACATAGGGGCTGAGGATTTAGCTCAGCAGCATAAGTGCCTGCCTTGCAAGCACACAGGTGTGAGTTCGATCGCCGGTACTGATAAAAAATAAAATGAAACACATTCTACATGATGAACTTTGAAAATTTCTTGCTAAATGAAAGAAGATCATTCCAAAATCATACATATAACTTACAACATTTATATAAAACATCCAGCATAGACAAATCCAAGAGAGATAGAAAGTACATTAGTGGGCCAGGGAGCTCAGTGGCTGGTTCAGCTCAGTGGCTCAAGTGCTTGCCTGGTAAGTGTGAGGTCTAGAGTTCAACCCCCAGTACCAAAAAGAAAAGAAAATTCATTACTGAGTCAGGAATCATGGTAGGTACCTAGAATCTCAATTATTGGGCTGAGGATTTAGCACAATAGAGTAAGTGCCTGCCTGACAAATGCAAGGTTGTAAGTTTTTTTTTTTTTTTTTAACTTTTTATGGGTACCAGGGATCCAACTCACAACCACCTGCTTGCAAGGCAGGTGCTTATGCCACAGAGCTAAATCCCCAGCCCCTGAGCTAAGTCCCCAGCCCCAAGCTAAGTCCCCAGCCCCGCAAGGTTGTAAGTTTGATCCTTGATCAATTATTTGGGAGGCTGATGTCAGAAAATCACCAATTTGAGGCAGCAGAGTGAGACTTTGTCTCAAAACATAAAGTACACTAGTGTTTGCCTGAGACCAGGTAGGGAGACTGGAGGGTTGGCGTAGGACATGGTATTTCACTGGTAAGGAGTACCACATTTCTTTTTTGGTGGGAACACTGCTCTAAAATTAGATGATGTGTACGGTAAAAATGATCACAATGTATGCATGTATACCAATAAAACCCATTCATCTGTATAAATAACGGACTGAAAAGATAAAATAAAATTAGTGGTGATGGTAGACAGCTTTGAAATATAATAAAAACTATAGAATTGCACGTTAAAAAGAATAACTTTTATGTGTTGTGAATTATATTTGAGTAGAGCTGTTATTTATAAACATGAATTTGTTCATAAGTATGTGCTTATTGAATATTATTTGAAGGCAATGTCTAAATGAAAATGTAAAACCAGTAGCCTGCATGTAATATTACAGTGTTTCATTGTAGATGCCTCATTTTTAGAGGAACGTTGGTAGAGCATTCTTAGAGGTAATGCAGCTGATAAAGGAACAGATCTCATCAGGAATAATTTAAAGCAAAAGTTAATGTTTATAGAAGAAATACATAGTCAGGGGACATGAGTGTTCTTCAGCTACCTGAAAATCAACTATGTTTTAAGAAAAGGAGTAGTCTAGGGCCAGGGATAGGCTCAGTGGTGCAGTGCCTGCATGCCAAGCACAAAGGTCCTGAGGTCGATTCCCTTTCCACACACACACACACACACACACACACACACACACACACGAATAGGATTAGCCTACCATTATGTTTCCCAAATTAAGAATTTAAGCCATGGATTGAAACTATATTTGTACAACATGAGAAATGGGCTGCCTTGTTTTTCTGAGGATGTGTTTGTTTCCCTTTAATTCCTAAAAGGATGTATTAATAGATGTAGAATCTGTGTTTGGCAGCAGTTGGGAAATCGGACTGCCCAGATCCTGTTCTGCACTACCGTATCTCCTGTTTCCTTGATGCTTCTGTTTTGCCCCTTTTGGATCTTTAAAAAACTCAGCCAGGTAGGTAGGACAACAGCCCGTGTGTGTGTGTGTGTGTGTGTGTGTGAATCTGCAGTGCTTCTTAACACAGTTGTGTGGGGTACTTTAAGAGACCTTGAGGACTGAAGCAGAGGAGGCATTTCAAGAGGGCCAGCTCAGGTCAGTCATTGGTAAAACTGGGATGGGGTCTCAGAGACCCCTTTGAAAGTCACAACCATGAGGAAATCGGAGCATTTCTTTGCTTTATTAAGCAGTCTGAAGAAACGCAGTCAAGTTTGGTTCAAATTGGTTTCTACAGATGAACTATTTACGAAACAGCGAAATGAATGGCTGTGAAACCGTCAACAGAAAAGGCCATAAATAAGGGCAGATGAAAGGCAGACTGCTTGGGTGGCCAGCAGGGCACCCAGCAAGTTAAGAGGCACGTTTAGAAAGGGAAATTCCTAGGTATGGACAGACTCCCCACGAGCAAATGAGCCAGCCAGGCGCCTGAAGCAGAGGTGAGGGAGTGTTGTCACCCGTGCTGCAGTACCCCAGCGATGGGAACTAAAGGAGGAGAAAGGCAACTCAAGGCCCAAGGGGTTGGCTGGCCGGCGGTCCTGGGGGAGTTTTTGGGAGAAGGCTGCCTGTGTGCGTGAGCGAGTGTTTCTGGAGGATCTTCCAGGGCACGGTCAGCACAGTGCTCCAGAACAGCCAGCCCTCCACTCCCACCTCACCCCTAGGACTTCTGCAGCCCGATGCCTGGTGGACACATCTTCCAATCGTGCCAGGCCTTGGGCTAGGCCAGAGAGCTCGGGAGGAGGCGGGGCTCTCCCCTGGGGTAGGGCTCTTGCCGCAGAGTCCTCCTATTGGCTGTAGCCTCGCGGGCGAGGCTGGGGAAGTGGGTGGGCTAGTCTCAGGATGACCCTCTCCCAGGGCTGTGGCCACTAGGCGACTCCCGGAAGGGGGCAGGGCCTCACAGGGGGCGGGGCTGCACTGCGGGTGGTTGCGGGAGGAGGCTGAGGTGGTGCTGTGCTGGACTCCGCTGCTGGTCCCAGTCAGAAGGAGCGGAGGTGGTGGCTGCTGCAGAGGCAGGAGCTCTGCGGGGGTGAGAGCGGGCCGGGGGCGGGGGCGGGGAGCCGGCGGGCGGGGCTCTGGGCCGCTGGGAGCGCTCGGGGACAAGCGTCCCGCGTCTTCTAGGCTCCCGCGCCTGCGGGTCGCCGGGTCTGGGGGCCGGCGGCGATCGGGGTTCATGGCGGCGTCCGCGGCTCTGTCGGCGGCGGCGGCGGCAGCGGCGGCGGCCCTGTCGGGCCTGGCGGTGCGACTGTCGCGCTCGGCGGCGGTGCGCGGCTCCTATGGCGCCTTCTGCAAAGGACTCACGCGCACGCTGCTCACCTTCTTCGACCTGGCCTGGCGGCTGCGCTCCAACTTCCCCTACTTCTACGTGGTGGCCTCGGTGATGCTCAACGTGCGTCTGCAGGTGCGGATCGAGTGAGCGCCGCGACGGTGGCGCTGCCGGTGGCGGTGGCTGCGGCGGCCGGGCCGGCGGGAGGGAGACTCGCCTGCCCCACCGCAAAGGGCCGGGATGCTGCAGGAAGGACGGCGGGGCCGCCCTGGACACCAGTAAGCGGCAGGAGGCGGCACAGCCTGAGGCCTTTGCCCTGGACCTCCCCGGTGGAGCGACGGCTACGCAGCAGCTTTAACACCCGGGCTCGGACTCCACCCGCGCCGCCTGCAGGAACCCACGCAAAGACTCCTTGCTGGTGGGCTCGCGAACATTGTTCGGGTCCAACTGACTTGTTGCCTCACAGCGGCCGAAGGAGGTAACCGGGAAGGACGAGTTCTGCAGCAGCTTAATTTTCCAGGCCCTGCACTGAAAGGTAGGAGGCCACAGGTTTGAATGAAAGCTGGGTGACATCCGCTTACTTGACCTCTAGACCTTGAGGCTGCCTGATAATTTGGGAGAAATAGGAACTTAAGCCCGAGAGAGCAGCCCAAAAAGCTTCCCAGCTGAGCTTCGGAAGACGTAGGCAGGCACCTCTCTGCTCCCCTGTTGTGAGTCCACCATGGGCATCGCAGAGGGTCAGGCCATGGCCAACAGAGAAACAAGAGCCCCATCTGCCAGTCACACCCTCTTACTCAGAGGTCTGGGTGATGTCACCTGAACCCTTGGCAATAAGGAAGAACAGGCCAAAAAACTCCATGGAAGGACTGGGGAGAATAGAGTTGCCCACCCTTCCCCTGTTCCTCTGAGGCCAGATGGAGAATACTGCTTCTCTTTGCAGCTGAACCCCGGCATCTGCTGCTCAGTCCTCAGGTCCCTGGACCTCACTACAGCTGTCCACAGCCCTTCCCCAACCTATCTCCTGCCTTGCATTTGAGGACAGGGGACTGGCCTCTCCTGCACCTGTTGTACCCCTTGTACCAGTAGCCACACCTGAGGACAACTTTCAGAGTGGGAAAGTTGTTACTGGTTGTTCTCTACCCCTGGGCTTGCTCCTTGGCCCTGTCAGCCCAGGGTCCCTTCAGGGGCTGCCACTGCCCTCCCAGGCACACAGAAGCCCATACTCTAGCCATGGACAGCCCAGGGAGCACACTGTACACCCAGAGGATTTGAGCCAGTGGGAGGAGGCCTCTGAGCCGGCAGTATTGCCCAGACAGTTGGGGAAGGTTGCAAAGGAGGCCACAAGGAGGACAAGACCGTTCTTGGTTACCTGGCAGCTTAAAGTCTCCTCTTTCTTTCTTTTTCAGACCCTGGTCCTTATGGATGGTTTCCTGCTTCTTTGGACTTATCAAGAGTGGCATTCTGGTTTAGCAGCTTCCTGGGAAGCAGCAGAGTGAAGGACCTGCCCAGGAGAGGCCTTCCTGACAGTGAACCCACAGGGGCCAGGCACAGAGGAGTGGGGTGCACTGGGCCAGGAAATCTCCTATCAACACTATGAGGGAGGTATATTCTCCCACCTAATGAGCCAAAGTGGGCTCCCGGAAGGGGCTGGGATTGGATCTTGTCACAGACAGGAGGAGGTGGAAGGTGAGCTGGCCCCTGCACTGGAACTTGCCTAGGCCTTCTGCAGGCTTCTCCCAGACCAGACAGTGAAGGGAAGAAGGGAAGGGAGCACAGAGCTCCAGGGCACTGAGAGAAAGAGGTGCAGGGTTAGGGAATCTGGGGATCTGGCTTTCCTTGAAGAGCGATCAGGGGTCACCGGAAATACAGAACAGCAAACTGAAGTAGACAAGAGGTGGTACTTGTCCCAGGACTTAGTGGGGAGCCAAGTCCTCCCCACGGAACCTACCTTCCCTCTCTATCTGAGCTTGTCCAGAAGCACCTTTGCAGTTGTGTGACACAAGCCTCCTAGTTTGGTGGTAGAGTGTGAATCATGGTGGCCACGTGCCTCTGGGGACTTGAGGTGACCAGAAGGTGAAGAGATAAACCTGGCTCAGATAGGGCTGAAACCCATGGCATGACTCCATCTCTGGCCCCAGACTTAAACCCCCATCCCTAGGATCACACTGTATAAATCACATCCCCATGGATGAGATTGGCCTGGAGAGGAACTGGGGTCCCAGAGCAGCCAGGTGCTGCGAGAGGAGACTGAATTGTCCAGGAGCACCAAGGAGCACCCTTTCTGAGGCCCACACACTCCTCAGTTCCTGGCATTGAAACCTGCAGCAGTCTGGCTGCCCCAGGGACAGAGTGGCCCAGCTTCCTTCCAACTCCCCTCAGCTTCCCATTGGAGCCTACGTCCTGGATGAAGACCTTGGTTTGCCTCACCCTAAATACAAAAACTGGAAGGTAGCAGTCACTTGCTCCCTGAGGTTTGCCATAGCCTGGACCTGATGACTTTCTTCCCTGTGCCACATCTCCCCAGGTCCTGTTGCAACAGATCCTGTTGTTCTCTCTCCTTTCCCCTCTCCTGTCTCCCCAGAACCCCCTGTGGTGATCTTTCAGCCTCTGTCCCCCAGGCACAGGTGCTCTCTGGGAGCCACATGTGAGAGGCAGGAGCCACACACTGACTGGAGAAGGAAAAAGCAGGAGCTGGGGCCTGCTAGAGTCTGCTACCCAGATGTGGCCTTTTCCAAAGCTGGACCCACCCTGAGTGACAGGAGTTCCAGCTCTAGCCTCTTCTTGGGCCAACCTGAAGGAAAAAGGAGGTGCCGTCCCTGAGCGTTCACATTTGGGTGTGTGCATGTGGATATGTGTGCACATGGGAGCACATGTGTGTGCACATGGGAGCAGTGTGGGCATGCAGATGCTTTTGAGAGAGGGGAGCTGATGAGCAGGAGTAGCCACTTCAGGTTCCCAGCACCCCCTGTGCCAGAGGCTGGCCTGGGCCTTAGAGGCAGGAAGTGGCATGCAGCTTCCAGACCCCACCCTCAGCGGCCAATGCTGGAGGCTCCACACCTGCCCAGAGCCCTACCGTGGCCTCTGGCTGGCTGTGTCCAAAGAGGTCCTCAAGGAGAGGTCAGGGAGCAGGCTTCAGCCTTGTGTTCCTGGCACTGGCCTGGCCTTGAGTAGTCAGCAAACTGCTTCTCAGCCTCCCCTCTGGCTCTGCTTTCTCTCCCCGTGGGCCCCTTGCTGTGTGATGGGGCCTCGATGCACTTTATTTATTTGCAGTCTGTTCCAGGCGATACAACTTCTACAGATGTAGACACGGCCTTGATGACTCCATTACTGTGTGATTAATTCTGCACTGGCCACCACTGCCTTTCAGAAACCTTGTCTTATTTCTGGTGTTGTCACATCTTGTCTCCCCAACTGAAAAAAAAAAGTCCTTGAGTTCAATACACTGCAATTCTGACTGGAGGCCTCCTTTTTCTGCTGGGTGTGATGGCAGAACTTCAGGGGAGGGAGGAGTCACGCTCTGGGCCCTTGAGCTGAGGGACCTCTGAGAGCCTGGCATTGGCATGCAGACAACCTGCTCAGAAGCCCTGTCTGGTCCCCACTTGTAGGATCCCTGCCCCCACCTAAGCAGGCAGCAGCAGAGCCTGACCCAGGACAGGGGAGTTGCTCCTGTTCCCGTCCTTGGTCAAACCTGAAGCAAGTCTGTTTGTCCATCTAAGAGCTGAGTATTGAAAGCACTCAGTGCAGGTGAACCTTGAGGATAAAGGGAAATGAATCTGCCTTCCTGCAGGTCACTTTGTGTGCAGCCCAGAGTCACCTCTGGAGCAGCAGGTGATAAAGTCACCACTGCCTCCCTGTGGGCAGGTTGCTGGGAACACTTGGAGGAGACCAGCCACCCACCAGGCCAGGAACCTGGAAGCCCACTTCCCTCCCCTACCTTAGAACCAAATTTCTACTGGCTCCTCAGAGAAGCCAGAGACCAAGGGCTGAGGGGAGCTGATGGCTGGCAAGAGGGCTGAAAGCTGGGGAACAGGGTTGAGCAGAAGGCTGGGAGCAGAGGTAGAGGCTGGGGTGGGGGTGGGGTGCAGGCCAGGAGGCTGAGGGCAGCGCTGGGGAGGGGAAAGCTGAGCACGTGGAAGGAAGGCTTGCAGGGCCCCAGGAGGGAGGTATCCGGGCACACAGATTTATGCTCACACTGAAGAGCACAGCCTGGGGTTAGATGCCCTGATTGTACTCCACTGTCTGTCGCAGAAGAATCCCCCAGCATCCTGAGAAAGACAACCCTCCCAGCAGCACTGGTGTGGGTGCTGTGTGGCATCTTCCACCACTGGAGGGACACACCCAGGTTCCTGAGCTTTGCTAGACTCCTCAGCATCACCCTGTCCAATCCCTGATGGCCCCGTCTCCACTGAAATCATCTTGTCCAGCAGAGCACAAAGGACAGGCTCACAGGTATGGGGACAAGAGGACCAGCTCCAGGAGGTGTAGGCATGCAGTGGTGAAGGAAAACACTCAGGCAGGAGACCCTGAGCCCAGCTCTTTTACTTCTGCAGAGCTCTCATTTGCCACACACAACCCCTTGACATTAGGAAAGACCCTATGGGTGCTCATGGAAGTTCAATGTATGAAATGTGCCAAACATTTGTCACCAGGCCTCACTTGGAGCAGCCTTGTTGAAGTGGGGAAATAGCTAAGTGAAGGAACCCGACTCGCTGGTGCATGCCTATAATCCCAGCACCTGGGAGGCTGAGGCAGGAGGATCATTGTGAACCTCCTGGGAGGGTGCAGTGTGTGCCACGCACTGTGCTGGGAGCATTGGGCTGCTACTCTCAGCAGAGACCCACACTCATCCATCCCTTGGTCCACATCACAGTGAAGCCGAGGGTGGCAGCCTAGTCTGAAACACATCCCTGAGCAGAAGCTCTTTTAGGAATTCCTCTGCCCTGGAGGACCAGGCAATTGGACTGGAAGGATGGTGCAGTGGCAAAGGCAGAAGATGACCCTGTCCTTTCTTGTTCAATCCAGGAGATGGATAGGAAATCTCGGCTCCGTGGAGAAGGTCTGGGAACTTCTCCAATGCAGCTCCCCACTGGGAGGAGCTAGGACAGTGCCAAGATGGGCCACCTACCTCCTCCTGTCCACCCCACCTCCAGAGATGGGTTGAATCTAAACAACTGAGTCAGGAGACAGCAAGAGAGCAGGAAGTGGGCAGTTTCTGGGGTAGTAAGAGCCAAAACATGCCAAGTCACATCCATTTCTACCCCACACTGGGCCTAAGGGAAGCCTCTGGGTTTTGGCTAAATTTCTGCTGTGTGAATCAGTATCTACCCTAGACGACCGTGTGTGTGTGTGTGTGTGTGTGTGTGTGTGTGTGTGTGTGTGTGTGTGTGGTTGGGCTGGAAGGATGAGCTCCAGTGTTCATCTTTCCAAGTCATTAAGTATTTCTCTGCATCCAAAGCTGGCTACTGCTCCCTTGTATGAAGGAAGGTGTCCTCGGGCATTTCCCACTGTTTTGTGGTTATTTACCCTTGTTGTTGTTTGGAGAATCTGGGAAGGTTTTGGAAGCTGGGTTTGGGTTAATGTTTCTTTGATGGATGGTGCAGTGAAAGATGTTGTAGAATACTCATGACCAGATCCTACATGCACATTCCTAGAACTGGGCCAAGGGTAGGCACAGTGTGTGCCCTTGATAACCTCCAGCTCTGTGAGACCAAGTTACTCTAGTCGCCTCAGTCAGCAATGAGAGTTTCCGATATATGGAGACAGTTCTGAGTCAAAGTAGATGTTTAAAATTTCGTGACTTACCTTTGGTTGGCTCAAGCTGGATGCATTTCTCCCTTTTCAAGACCAACATAATGTTTAGTTTAAGTTGCTTTCCTATAACTTTTCCGCATTCATCATCTCCACTTTATTGAAAGTTCAATCCAGTCTCCTAGAACAGAGAACTGGGACCTTCCCTTCCCTCCCCTTTGCCTGTATTTAATCAGGCTTATAAAACTCTCAATTTGACACCTTAAAATGGTTTATTTTGCATCCATAATCAGAATGAAATACTTTCATACTTCTATTGACCATTTCTACTTCCCCTTCTAATTATACGGATTTTTTTCACAAAGGAATGAGACATGCCTTTTATCACTGACTGTTGGGAAATGACTTATTCAGGTCACGATGGATGTCAGATGTCAGCTTGGACTCGCTCTGCACCACCCTGAGCCACTCCATCCCCACCCACTTTTCCAAACACATGCTAGTGATGGGTAAAGGAACTTAAAAACACTAGCCACTCGCACCAGGAAAGCATCAGGGCCAGAAGCAGTGGGCATGCAGGGCAGCAAGGGGACCTGATGCTGTGCAACACTTGTAGGCTGGGATGGAAATGGGTCTGACAAGCCAGGGAGTCAGCAAGCCCAGGCAGGCACTGTGTGTGGTGGGGAGCAGACCGAGGCATTCTGTGGGGATTTAGGAGGCAGAAATATGTTGTCTGCCAAAGACTGCGAACCAGGGCACCTTGACCTGCCTACCTGGGGGGGCTCTTCAAAACAAGTGGCCTGCCCGAGCCATGGGTTGAAACGGAGTCACATTCAAGTCTCCAATCCCAAGGCTGCCCTGTGCTCATTGCGAGTCCAGATGCTATGTGACAAACAATCCAGGTGGTGAGTAATGTGAATATGTAAGTACACAAGATGTACTGCTGGACACATTTCTATGAACCTGAGGAACATTCAGGACAAAGTGAATAACCTAATACCCACTGGAGAGGAAAAGCAAGGCACTCCACAAATGAATAACAACCAGTTAGGCAGCAAACACTGTCCAAACAATGAGTGAGGGGTGTCACGTGCCTTTATCCTGCTAAATGTATAAATGCCCCTAGAGTAAATGAATAGTTCCTTTCCTCCCATCTGAAGAGAGGGCTCCACCTGACCCCAGGTTCCCACAGTTTTCCTTATTTTCTCATTCTCTCACTGTCCTCCCCTCACCCAACATCTAGCACTATAGCAGGACCTTTTTTTTTTTTTTTTTTTTTTTTTTTTTTTGGTACCAGGGATTGAAATCAGGACCTCGAGCTTGCAAAGCAGGCACTTATGCCACTGAGCTAAATTCTCGGCTCCACTGTGCCATTTTTATTCACAAGTTAGACTCAGGCACAGGCCAGGTGCTTGGTGAATGATTTCCAACACTGAAGAAGTGAGGGTGAGGCTGGTCCTGCAAACACACACCCAGCATTCCACAAAAGCACTGCCTCAACCACGGAGAAAGCTCTTGCACCCAATCAAGGTGGTAAGGAAATCAGAAACTCCACACTGGAGTCATCCGCTTCCACAACACACTCCCGTGGCTGGGATGCAGGGGCAGAAAGCTGCGGCCACTAGCACAACCTTTAACACTCATGTAGTAGGGACTAGAACAGAAACCCTGCAGCAGGCAAACAAAAAGGCTGTAGAACTTCACTGGACAGCAGAAGAAATCAGTGAAGTGGAAAGAGGGGCACCGTTTCTTGTCCATTACAAGACTCACCCAAGGGCACCTTGCCAGTGGACTCTAATTTACACCCAGATAGTCTTACTGCTGGGCTACCAGGAAATACAGACTTTGCCTCTCTGCACTGCTTTAGGAGCCTGGGAAAGACACTGAGTCCCAATTCCCAGTATGCATCAGTGCCCTCAGAGCAGTGAGAGAAAACTCCTGTGAGCTGAGAGTGTGAGTGTGAATGTGAAACAAATGTCACACATCAGAATTTAAATTTACTATCTATCAAATCTTGCTGGTAGGATTACTAAAGGTTGTGTGAGCTATGAAAACCATAAGCCCAAAAGAAGGCAAGCAATGATAGCAAGTAAATACTCATGGAAAATGGTTTCAGAATCTCCACATGCACTGGTGACTAAGGGGAAAAGAGAAGGAAAAACAATGCTTTCTGTTCATTGAGAACTTTGCATTTCCATCAGTGTTTCAGGTGAGCCAAACTGTCAGCAGACGGGAAGGAGACTGCCAAGGGGGCATTGAGTCTTGGGGGCACTGTACTTGTCAGTGGACTCACTCACTGGTGCTTACCACTGAATGTGCTGGTAGGGGTGAGTCACGGGGGGCTGGCTTTTTGGAGGCACATTTCTTACTGGTGCTCCTCCTAGTTTCTTGCTATCTGTGTCAAGGTCACAAATGTCCTCAAGAGTTACCTTGGAACCATGCATAGCACGTCTTAGCTCTATTGTCAGAGTCAGCCATCTGGATGAGTCATGGCCATTGCTTGATCATGTTCCTTTCCATGAAACCTTGAGAGATTTTTATCTCCTAGTGACTCTGCTTAGGCACCCTACATTGATGATCACTTTTCTCTGTAGTCTCACAATCTTCTTGATCAGAAGATCAGGGTCTCAGTGAGTATAAGATGACTGAAGCACAGTTCTCTTACGTCCTGGGTCCTCATTGACCTTGGAGGGCTGGGGCCAAAATACTGGCTAGCTTTTTAGCCCATTTATCTCTCAACCTCAGTTGTTGAACATCTAGAAGAAAAGACTGACAACAGTACAAGTGCGGTAGAGATAGTGAGCCTAACATTATTAACTTACTAACGTTATTATCTTATATAAATATCAAGCATCTTAGAGCATTAAATGGAACTATTATTTCCTATTAACTATGGATGTTTTAACATTTGAATACATGTAGAATGTTATCAGTTACAGATTTTACACAGAAAAGTAGAAATCAAAGCCATACCTAATATTATGATAATCATGATGATATTCTGTAACACACTTGAATTTGTATTTTTGACATAAGATACCCCGTTTTTGGTCAGTCCTCCCTATTTAATACATAAGGACTTTTACCTAACTTTTCACCTTTAATGAGATATACATATCATAAGCATTTGTTGAAGGCCAAGGTCTGAATCTGAAACAAAATTAAACAATCCATGTTTTAAATTTTTGACAACCCGTATACCTGGAAGCATGAATACATGAATAAACCATAGGTTAACAACAATCATTTGTCATAACCATGCAAAAAAACTTTGTATGGGCATTTTTAAATAAAATCCTTAAGCCAGGCATGGTGGCACACCTGTAATCCCAGCATTCACAAGGCTGAAACAGGAGGATCATTGCAAATTCGAGACTAGCCTGGCTATAATAAAGTGCGCTCAAGGCCAGCCCAAACTGCAGAGTGAGTCTCTGTCCCATAAAGAAAAAATATATAAAGAAAAAATAAAAATAAATCAAAAGCCTTATTCTATTATTTTTTATTGATGATGACCAATGTGAACATATTAAAATAGTACTTTTTATAACTTTGATTGGCATATCTCCCAGAAGGCTACATAGATCACTGAGGCCTCCAATCAATGAACAAAAACTGGTTGAAAATGTTACCATGCAGCTGCTTTCTTACTCATCAATTGGAATCCTGTCAAAATATCAAAACCCTAAGGGAATTTGTTTATGCATCTTAACAATTTTGATGACTTATAAAAAAAAATCCAACCATAACATTTAACACTTTAATTTTTTTTTTTTGTTCCAAGGATCGAATTTAACCACCTCACACTTGACAGGCAGGTGTTTATGCCACTGAGCTAAATCCCTAGCCCTACCACTTTAATTTTTAAGCAATTAGAGACTCTAAAGTCCATCATAAACATCAATATACATCACAGTCACACAACCAGTTTTAGCATCATTTTTACTAGCTGGCAACCCAGAAGGAAACATGCTTTTAAGTCTATAACCCAAATTAAGCTTTGATTAAGTGATTCAAAAATGCAAAAGAAAGAAAAAGAACAATTTTTAAGCTCAAATAAAAGGAATAGCTGTTTACAGAGTGGACAAATGCACAAACATGGACAGACATAGAAACCAGTACAGTTTGTGGGTGTCTGTGAGAACTCTAAGTTTTAGGGGGGTATTTAAACTTGCATCATTCCCTTTTGCTGAACTAGCTCACTTCTCCCTGTGCTCTTGGGTGGAACACCTGTTCACTGCCAGTACCCCATGCCCTCAGAGCGTTTCTTAGGTGCTCTGTGCCATTGGGACATTCCTGTACGAGCACTTGTGCTTTTGGCTCCGTATGTGTAAAAAATCACTAGCTCAGTTAACTTCCAACAACTGCTTAACAGCCTGGGCAGGCAGATACATAAGCAGATTGACAAACACCTTACAAAATCAGCGTGCCCTCAAATATATTTTTAGCAAAATTAAATTACACTTTTTTTGTGTACTGGAGATCGAACTCATGACCTTGCGCTTACTGAAAGGGTTTTGGCCCAGACCGGACACTGTAGCTGAAAAAGCCTCAGCAGGAACCAGGGAGCTCCTATCTTCCCCGCCCCTAGAGATTTACCTGTAACTCTGTCTCCTCCCGTCCTTAGGAATCTGCCCCTGGCGCCAAAGTGTGCCAATGAAATACCTGTGCATCTCTAATGGCCCTAGGGCACTACCCTAAGCTTAGGCTATTTATATACCCCCCATGCCAAGTGTCTCCTAGAGAGATCTCTGGACTCCAGCGGCAGGGGGGATGGGGGGAGTGTGGGGGGTGAGGGGTGTGGGTTATCTTTCTCTGTGTTCTCAGAATAAAGGCCTCTTTTGTTTTATACTTCATAACTTTTGGAAATAATCCTATCATTTGGAATCCTATCACTTACCAGGCAAGCATTTGAGCCACTAAGCTAAATCTCTGGCTCTACATTAACATTTTATAATTGTAGAATTTGTAATTATAAATAGGCTAGCCAGATTTGTGATAGGTCAATTAGCACAGATCTCTTATAAAAGAATTTGGAAAGGACAAAGTTTTATCTATAACATATATTTTGTATTTTAACTTCAGAAGACTAGTAACTTGGGTAGCCCTTTCTTTCATTCAAGTTTCAGTTTGGTTATCTCTATATAGTCTTATCACCTCTTTAGACCTTTGGTTCTTCCTTTTGGTTACCATCTCCTGGGTATCTTGCATCAATTCCTTCAATTGGTTCTACGTCTGGTTTAATCCCATTCTTTTCTATAGGTTGTGACATGATTTTGATATAGGAAAATCAAACTGTCAACCTACTAGATGTCTGGTAGGAGTTTGTGCTCTCTGGAATTGAACAATGAAGTTTAGGAACAATGGAAGTTAAGAGCAGAATATATATATATATATATATATATATATATATATATATATCGGTACAGGGGATCAAACTCACGACTACCTTCTTGCAAGACAGGTGCTTATGCCGCTGAGCTAAATCCCCAGCCCCCAGAGTAGAATATATTTTTTGAGAGAAAGAAAGCTTCTGTCTAGGAGAGAGACAGAAAGGATCCCGAACCTGTTGCCAAAGACAGTCTTCTCAATGTATTTTACAGAGCAAAACCACAAGGGCAGACGGGAAAAACATGGGAACTTGCAAGGCAAACAGGCCTGAGATGGGACAGAACTATGGTCAACAGATAAGATTAACTGTTCAGGTAAAAACTGACCAAATCATGGACAAATGGGGAAACCAGCCACACAGCAAGTGGGCATGCTTAAAGAGCAGTGACTTTCTGTAGGGGGTTGGGATGGTAACTCTCAGCTCCCACAGGGAGATCAATACCTATTTAGAATACCAATATCTGATGTTTATACTTAGGGTGTGATTGCATTTGTTTTGCCTTTTGTCTTGCAATCTGGCCTGCAGCAGAGGTGTTTATCTCCTCCAAAGTTACAAAGTATCTGAACTTCTGCACTGGCTCCTTTGAGGGTCCAAATCTGTTTGACTGCCTGTAATATTTCTAACTCACTCAGCTTCCTGTACCAGTTTCTTAGGCATAACTGTGCTTTGCTTTGTGTGAACTCTCACAGGGATCCAGACATGCCACAAGCCCGTCCCTGGACTTTTTCTGCCAGAAGCTACTGAGCTATGGCTCAGGAACCCTGGGACAGGGAGCAATAACAGAAGCCATGCTCCATTACCCGTTATGGTCTGGAACTTTGTCCTTTCGCTTTAACTCCAGCAGCTAGAATGGTGGCTGGCACATGATATTGAATCTATAAGACTGTAGAATATACCGAGGAGTAGCAGCTTAAAATGTACAACATACTTGGTCCTGCTGTATGTTCCTTTATTATGAAGGGGAGCATTAATCGTTGGGTGGGTGCCAGGTCCCCTATGACCTGTAAAACAAACTCTGGACTAAAGTATGTTTATTCAAGGACCAGGATGTTTATCAATCCCAGAACTGGAGGTGAGCTTGAAGCCCCTTCCCCGTTACGCTGAATGTTTTAAAATAACCCTTCCCCTAAGAGATTGTTGCCTGGATAAGAGAAAATAGTTTCAGAGAGTGTGCTTGTGGAGCTTTGGCACTATACAACCGCAAGAGGAAATGCCCTCCCCCTCCTTCAAGGAGCTCTGGGCTCACCTGCAGGTGGGCTGCACCTCTCCAACAAGGCAGTTAGTTCATGGGAGCCGCAGGTATCACCTATGGCTACACTTTTGTTCTAAAAAGCAAACAAGATGTAATAGGTTGCTAAACTATTTTATGCCCATAGAATGAATGACAAGTTAAACACTGGTTGGTAGACATTACTGCAGCTCAGATAATGGATTTAATGAAGTTAACAACATTAACTCTGGCCTGGTTTCTAACAGGTGCTATTCTAGATGCTTACCAATGATTTAATGAAAAAATACACCTGGTTGTAATGGAGGTTACATTGTAGCACGGAGAAGGGACATAAGGAACCACTAACTTTATATACTTAAGTGGATAACAGGAGATGAACAACGGTAACGACAAATGAAAACTGGACAGATAGCACAAGGGGAACCGAATCTTCACAGGTAGGCTACCTGTAGTTTAAATCTTGCCTATTACCATGCTGGCCCTGCTACCTCTTAAATCTTTCAACCCTTTAGGTTACTTCAAAGCCTTAAGTCTCTGCCAGCATAGTCTACTCCTTGAGTGGAAAAAAAGGAATGTAGCTGAGTGGCAGTGTTATTTCTTACAATGCAGAGGTAGCTTTAACAGGTTTTAGAATTAATAAGGTACTTTCCTATAGCTGGTTCATTCTCCCAAGACAAATAGGACCTACTGAGCCACAGGTCAGGAATCCTGGGGCAGGGAGCAACGTTCACAAGACAATTTGATATTTAACATATTAACTTTATTAAGCAAAGCTTCTCCATTAAACCAGGAAATTTACTGCACATAGAAGGAAGAATGAGCAGGGAATGAAAGGTTTGGATATTAGTATTTGTAAACAGGGGTCATGGAAATCGCCCTCCACAGATAGCAGGACTGAGTGCTCTCCACTATGACCACGTTGACGATGTCACATGGCTGAGGTACATAACCAGCAGGGAACTGCAGTGAATCCAGGGTGAAAAAGATACTGTCATCAATCACTCCTTCTCTTCCATGGACACTACTAATTTTGACCTGTGACGAGAAATGATGGAGATGAGTGGGGAAAAGCATACTACATGGTAACCAGCTCTGCACCGCCTCACCCTGGCCATAACCTGCAGGTCAGTCCACCCGTACCACTGATTCCCAACCTGCTGGAGTCATGACACACACCTGTCTCCAGATCACACTTCACCCCAGTGCAGTCAGAGTCTCTGGGAAGAGGCCCTCTGTTCTCAGGTGAGAAACCTTGCTCCAAATTTGATCCACCGTGGCCACTCACTGTATATTCTACTCACTTTCAGGCTGCACCACCCCAGGCATTACTCAGTTTTCACTAGGACGCTCACAACCCACAACCCGCTTCATTCTTTCCCCACCACATTCTTTTTTTAAACAAAAGGATAAAAACATTACAGAATTTTAAAAAATAGTATGAATCAACACTAATATATTACGTATCGTTATCTTAAAAGTAGTTGTTCCGATTACAAGATTTAGGCATGAAAAAATGATCAAACAATTGAACAATGAAAACACAAACTTCTTTTTGATGAATTTACAGAGATTGGTATAGTTATCTATCTTGTGTGTATGTATACACACACACACACACACACACACACACACACACACATATACGTGTATACCTATATACAAACAATCTTTTCCCTTCTTTCTTTTCTCCGTTTCCCTATTCTCCCATCCCAGTTGCCCCTACCACATTCTCTCTTTTTTTTTTTCTTTTTGTACCTGGCACTTGCCAGGCAGGCACTGGTGGCACTGAGCTAAGTCCTCGACTCCTACAACATTCTTGCAAGCAAATTCTTCTGTTTATCTCAGAACATCCTAATAGCCAATTAACATATCTTGGAAATCAACTGTATGCATGTTCTACATTACTGTATATTTGTTCACTTTTGGAAGTCTGTTCTTTTCAGTAAGAAAACAGGCCTCTTTTGACAAGAATATATTTTCATGTTTTCCAACCACACCCAGTAGGATCCTGGAGAACTAAGTTTGCGCTAAAAGAACAACTGGCACAAACTAATGTCAAGCATGACATGGAGACAAATTACCTCTTCCACCTGCCGAGAGCTGAGAGGCCTCACGGAGTGCGCCTTGATGTGTGCCGCACCTGGCTCCATGGAATACACGACCTCCAGCCAGTCACCCTTATAGGGCACAAAACCTAAAACAAGCATGGAGAGCGAGAGTGCAGTGAGGTCAGTTCAGTTTCACAGGTTCCTCTGGTGTTCTAACACCTTCACATACCTTCTACTGGATGCAGAGTGTGCTTGGCACATGTGTAAAACAGACACCTGGTAAATCTTCCCGTCAGAAGGGAAATTTACAATCCTTTAACCATTAATTCTCCTTTACTGGTTTAACGAAGTCGAATGGGGAAAAGTGTCAATTGTGTTTTACAGCCAACTGTTTCGGTGCCCACAGGATTTCTTAACTGGCCACGCTGGCATCTCCTTTGGCAGGGGTGGTGAAGTACACGGGTGAGAGTGCAGGTGTAAGCCGGGCTGCATGCCAATACAGCTTTAGATGTACACAAAAATTTAGAACATGTATGCTGGTTCTTAAAAAGAATTCAACAGTGAGTATACACACAAACATACACACACACACATACCCCATGTGCTATGAGATTATCTCCAAGTTAATGTGAAGCATTTTTGTTTATGTTGCAAATAGTGTCCTTTACATTATAACATGTTTCCATCATTTAATAATTAAATACATTTATTATTGAAAATGTATGCAAACATTACTAATTCTACTCACACATAAGAAATCATAGCAAGCATTTCTATAAACATTACCTTTTTATTTTCATGTGCCTGATACACATATTCAAGAGCTGCTCACTAGAGCCAAATGCGTAATAATAGTACCTCTTCTGCTAAAGTTACCTAAAAACTTAATCATACCTTCACAAACAGTATCTAGGCAGAAGGAAGTTCCTTTATGAATATAGATCATGTCCTCCATTATAGAAACAACACAACCAATTAGAATTTTTGTTCCAGGATCTGGCATTCCAAAATTAGCGAAATAATCATAGACAGGCTCCACCTGTAAGATACAGAGTTACTTCAAACAAAATAAAGCTTCACAACAGGAACTTGTATGACTCCCAAAGAATCCCCACCAGAAAAATTACAATTTCGCCAGTTAGCTTGTCACAGTTTTATGGATTCTTGCAAGACAAAAGAGTCTTGTGTCAGAGAACGAACAGTCTCTCTCCAACATGACTCTTAACATAGGTGTTCCAGAAATATTTTAAACATTTCTCCATAATATTCTTAGGAGTAAACCTAACCTTTTTTCCTCAACATTTCTTAGAACTCTCCAGTATACCTTGTAGATGCTCTGACTATCTAGACGCATATACACTGTGAAACACTGTTTCATCAATAGCTCCTTCATTTCTCTAACAGCTGTTATAGTAATAATTGTCATAGTCTGATAAGCATTTGCTTCAAAACAAGAAGTCACAGACACTAAACTAACTCCAGTTAACCTAGAATGGCTCCAAAACTACCCCCTCCATACCACACAATTGAGGAGCCTACATACATCAAGTCCTAGGAACAAGAAAGGAAGGAATTGAGCTTCCTAAAACTGGTTTCAAGCCAGCTCTACAACCCCTATCACTTTCTCAACTAGAAAGACATTAGGAAAAACGTAACTTTGTCAAAGTTAAATTATTGGTTAAACCCTATATATCTTCAAGGCATATCCTTACGAATTAGGTTTCCAAGATGCTGCCTCCCCTATTATAGAAGAATTACTACATGTTCACGACCACACACTAGTAATTGTATTTCTACTCAGTACATTAGTACTGTAACTTATTTTTCTTATACTTACTACAGAGCTTACCCACACAAGCACTACTGATGTTCAAGAAATTGAAACAATTTGAACCATCCTACCTGCTATCATTCTCATTCTCGTTGCCCTTCCTTCTCTTCGAATTTTGCATGTAATAGACAAAATTAGTAACCTATCATTAACTGTCAAACAATAGGATATCAATGATACTGAAGCTACAAGTACACAGACTATGAAGAACTCAACTTTGATTCTTATATGGTACCTACAGCTGATTTAAAACTGAGAGAACTCTGACTACTTGAAGTACACAATTGAGTTGTTTTTCCCATAGAAATACCAATCCGTATATTAATTTAATCGGAAAATGTACTCCACTCATGAGCAATACCATCTCTAGGGCTTAAAACAGATGCAATCCCAGGATGCTTAAACCGAGCAACCCTCACATCGTCATACCCAGGATTATACTATAGTCAATGTTCAGAAATCTGTGGTTCAAATCCCAACTTTATACCCATCATTCTTGAAATGGTGCCACTAACAGAATTCAAAAACTGATCAACTTCAATACTACTCTAGTGTTAACCTTTTAAGTTACAAGATCAGAGGAGTATTTCCTCCATAATGAAATGCCACAACTAGATATATCAACATGATTTATCATTATCTCATCAATGATTATTTCCCTATTCCTATTTTTTTCAACTAAAAATCTCATCACACCTCAACATAGAGCCCCAAAAAACCTACGTAGAAAATACACAACGAAAGTCACCTTGAGAAAACAAATGAATGAAAATCGATTTGTCTCTTTCATTACACCTACATTAATAGGAATACCTATCGCAATTATTATTGTATCCTCTAGCATCTTATTTCCCTCTTCCAACCACCCAATTACAATACAATAATGAACAATTAAACTAATCTTAAAATAAATAATAATGAAACATAATATCAAGGGGGGAACTTGATCACTAATATTATTTTCCCTCATCTTATTTATCGGTTCCAACGATCTTTTAGGCCACTTGCCCCACCCACTCTTTTACCCCTAAGACACAACTATCCATAAACCTAGGCATGGCTATTTCACTACGAGCAGGAACAATAATTTTAGGATTCTGACATAAAACTAAATCATCGCTAGCACACTTTCTCCCCCAAGGAACACCAATCCTATTCATTCCAATACTTATAGTGATTGAGACAGTTAGCCTGTTCATTCAATCAATAGCTCTAGCAGTTTGACTAACCACTAACATTACTGCTGGGCACTTATTGATACATCTAATTGAAGGAGCCACATTAGCACTAGCCTCAATTAGCCCTTCAACAGCTCTAATTACATTCATTATTTTACTGTTACTGACAATCCTAGAATGTGCTGTAGCAATAATCAAAGCCTATATGTTCACTCTGTTTAGTAAGCCTGTATTTACATGATGAGTCCTAAGGACTCACCAAAAAACATGTCTATCACATAGTAAACCCAAGCCCCTGACTAATTAGAGGAGCATTATCCGCTCTTCTACTCACTTCAGGCTTAATTATATGCTTTCACTTTAACACTAAGACACTACTAACATCGTTTCCTAACCAATGTCCTCACTATATATACCAATGATGTCGAGACATTGTACAAGAAGAAACATACCAGTGCCACCATACAATGATCATACAAAAAGGGCAGCGATACGGTATAATCTTATTTAGTATCTCTGAAGCATTCTTCTTCTTAGGCTTCTTCTGAGACTTTTACCACTCCATTCTGGCTCCAACACCAGAATTAGATGGATTCTGACCTCCCGCAGGAATTAAGCGCATAAACTCCATAGAAGTGTCCCTTCTTAACACATCAGTCCTTCTAGCATCACTTGATCACATCACAGCTTAATAGAAGGCAACCGAAAACAAATAATTCAAGCTCTAACCATTACAGTTATATTAAGTATTTACTTCACCCTACTTCAAGCTTCAGGAATATTTTGAAACATCATTCTCTATTTCAGATGGGGTTTACGGGTCCACTTTTTTGTCACCACAGGATTTCACGGCCTACATGTAATTATTGGATCCACATTTTTAGCTGTATGCCTCCTTCGCCAACTATACTACCACTTCACATCAAAGCACCACTTTGGCTTTGAAGGAGCTGCTTGATACTGACACTTCACAGATGTAGTATGACTATTCCTCTATGTCTCCATTTACTGATGGGGCTCCTGCTTTCTTAGTATAGCGCAGGACCACTGACTTCCACTCAGTAGGCCTCAGAGCACACCTGAGATAAAGCAATAAATATATAATCTCCCTCTTAACCAACTATCTCCTAACCTTTCTATTAATCACAATCGCATTCTGACTTCCTCAAACAAATGCTTACACAGAAAAAAACCAGCCCTTATGAATGTGGATTTAATTCAACAGAATCTGCACAACTATCATTTTCAATGAAATTCTTACTGATTGCAATCATCTTTCTTCTATTTGATTAGAAATTGCCCTTCTACTTCCACTACCATGAGCATCCCAAATTAGTAACCTAAAACTAATACTGTTAGTCTCATTAATATTGATCTTAATCCTAACATTAGGCCTAGCAGATGAATGACTTAAAATGGTCTAGAATAAACTGAATATGGTGAGTAGTTTAACAAACAAAACAAATGATTTCAACTCAATAGATTATGTTTACAAGTTTGTAATTATCAAAAATGTCCTCAATTCAATTTTTTTTGTCTTTTTTTGTTTTTATCAGTACCAGGGATCGAACTCACAACTGCCTGCTGGCAAGGCAGGCGCTTATGCCGCTGAGCTAAATCCCCAGCCCACTCTCAATTTACTTTTAACCTGATTATAGCTTATACTATATCATTTCTAGGTACAATAACATACCAATCCCATATAATATCCTCCCTCTTATGTCTAGAAGGTATGATACTATCAACCTTTATCTTTGGAGCTCTAGTCATACTTAACTCACACTATCTAGTATCTTTTGCTTTCCCTATTATCGTGCTAGTATTTGCTGCCTGCGAAGCAGCCATAGGATTAGCATTCCTAGTCATAATTTCAAACATCTATGGAATTGATTATGTACAACACTTAAACCTACTACAATGCTAAAAATTATCCCTACAATTATACTCATCCCTACCACCTGATTAATAATTCAACAATATGAATCAACACAACACTGCACAGCCTACTAATTGCACTAATTTGTCTGACAGTCGTAAATAAAGTTGACTTCACCAGACAAAACCACTCACTAAACTTCTCCTCTGACTCACTGTCCTCTCCATAACTAGTTTTAACAACATGACTCCTTCCTCTAATAATTATTGCTTAGCCAGCACCACTTAAGCAATGAGACAGAAATACGAAAAAATAATATACGTCACCCTATTCATTTTTCTCCAAACTTTACTAATTATAACATTTTTCAACCACAGAAATAATATTTTACATTTTAATTGAAGCAACCTTAATTCCTACCCTAATTATCATTACTCGATGGGGTAATCCAACAGAATAATGAAAGCAGGCCTACATTTCCTATTATATACATTAATAGGATCACTCTTACTACTAATCACCCTGATCTATCTACAAAACCTCTTAGGCTCATTGAATTTTCTCTTATTTAATTATAACAAAATATTGACACTTACAACTTGATCCAACAACAGAATATGATTAGCATGCATGATGGCCTTTATCGTAAAAATACCACTTTACAGCCTCTGCCTATAACTTCCAAAAGCCTATGTAGAAGCCTCAATTGCAGGCTCAATAGTACAATTGGCCATTTTACTAAAGATAGGGGGTTATGGAATAATTACAACTCCTAGACCCCTTAACAAACTACATAGCATATCCCTTTATCCTTCTATCCTTATGAGGCATAATCATAAACCAGTTCTATTTGCTTACACCAAACAGACTTAAAATCCTTCATTGCTTACTCCTCTGTCAGTCACATAGTCCTAGTTATCATAGCTATTGTAATCCAAACCCCTTTAAGCTTTACAGGGGTAACAGCCCTAATAATTGGCTATGGTCTCATATCTTCCTTACTATTCTGTCTAGCAAATTCTAACTACAAATGCATCCACAACTGATCCATAATCTTGGATCAAGGGCTCCAAACCATCTTTCATTAATAATAGTTTGATGACTACTATCAAGCCTAACTAACCTGACCCTTTCCCCAACTAATCTATTCAGAGAACTCTGTATTATCCTCTCTACCTTCACCTGATCCAACTTAATCATCCTTACTGGCCTTGACATACTAGTCACAGCCCTGTACACATTATTCATACTTATTTCAACACAACGAGGAAAGTTGCCACATCACATTACTAATGCGACCCCACCATTCACCAGAGAAAACTCCGTAATAACTCTCCATATCCTACCCCTAATTCTCCTCAGCCTTAATTCTAAAATCATTTTAGGAAGCCTGTACTGTAATTATAGTTTAACAGAAAGACTAAAACGAGATAATATGACAGGTGTGGTGTTACAGGCCTGTGATCCCAGTTACCTAGAGAGCTAATGTAGGAGGATTACAAATGTAAGGACAGTTTTGGCAGTTTGGTGAGATCCTCTCTCAAATTAAAAAGCGCTTGAGATGTAGCTCAGTGGTACAGTGCTTGCATAGGACCACAAAAATTTACAGCAATGAGGAGAATTTGTGATATGTAAATTACACTCCAAAATGCTCCTTTGTAAAAGTTTTTACAAGTTTAAAATACACATTATTCCTAGGGGCTGGGGATTTAGCTCAGCGGCATAAGCACCTGCCTTGTAAGCAGGCGGTCATGAGTTCAATCCCCGGTACCGATTAAAAAAAAAAAAAAAAATATATATATATATATATATATATATATATATATCATCCCTAGGTGTGATGGCATATGCCTGTAATCCCAGTACTTGGGGAGGCTGAGGCAGGAAGACAACCATGAGTTCAAGCCAGCCTAATCTGCATATTGAGACCCTGTCTCAAAAAAAAATGTACATCATTGGGGAACCACGGTTCTATGTCCATCAACTCATAGTGCATAAAATGTTTTTCTTAGAGTGTGTTTGGTCGCTTTTGTTTTTATGTTTGTGGTGCTGGGTTTTGTACCTAATGCCTCACACAATCTTGTAAAGCCATCTCAAAGTGGAGTAAGCCTCCAGCCCCAGAATTATTTTTCTAACATCAGATATTGAACCCAGACTTTGCAGTGAACTATTTACACATCTCTTTTAATTTTTTTTTAATGTGAGACAGAGTCTTGCAAAGTTACTAAATTGCTCAAACTAGGCTAGAACTTGTGACCCTCCTGCCTCAGCCTCCCAGAGTGCTAGGATTACAGGTATTTGCTATCATGTCTAGTGGAAAATACCTTTATACCTGAAGAAAAGTCACAGGAAACTAAAGAGTCCAACAATTAACACTGTTAATCATATTGTTTAAATACTAAAATAGATAAATAATTTTTACATTAAGAAACAGAAATCAGGCCTGGGTCTAGTAGCACATGCCAATAATTCCAGGTACTCAGGAGGCAGTGATAGGAGGATTGCTTGAGCTCAAGAGTCCCAACCCAACCTGGGCAATATAGTGACAACTTGTCTCAAAAAATAAATGTAAAAGAAAGACCAAAGCAGAGATGGCAGAACTAGAGGGAGACTATAACTAGCCTCCACCCCCAGTGAACAAAGAAAACATCAGAATTCTCTACAAATACAACAGAAAAATTTATGCTTCACAGAAGTGGAATTATAAATTCTACTTCACGTCCACTGTAGAGATTATATTAGAGGTTGCATGAAAACAAGCTAGCAAGATTGAAAGCCCGCAAGAAAAAAAGACACTGTGCCAAATACACATAAATCTTACTTTGATTGCTTTCACTTCAGAAGATACTTGATCTTCTTCTACAACTGCAAAAACTCTGTGTCCCACTGTGAGAGGTATATTGCCAGTCACAACATCAGTACTGAAGTAGATGCATTCATCAATCAAGCCATGATCATCACATAATTTTGTGACAATTCCTTGCATAGTTCTCACTTTGACAGGACCTATGGGATAGGGAGACAACAAATTCAATTAATTAATTCCAAACGTAAACATTCATACAATAAGTCATACCAGAGGAAGACACTGTTATTATACAACTTCATGAGTTTTGTCAACATAATGAAGCAGCATGTCGATTAGCAAGAGAAAAATATTAAACATTTTACCAAAGCAAAAAAAATAACAGATTTAAACCTAGTCAAAAAGTACAACCAAGCAAATGGGGAATTCATTTTTGAACCTTTTTTTCTGACTTTTGGGGTCTGACCCAGGACAGTCTACCTACAGAAATTAAGTTCACTAGCACAGGGCCACAGCTGCCTACCCTACAAAATGGATAGATTAAAAGCATAGTGGATAAAAACTTAATTAGATTAGATTACTCAAATTAAATAAGAAAAGCTGACAACTTAAAAAAACTTGATTGAATTTGTTAGTAGCATCATATTAGAGAAGAAGGGTAAATGAGGCAACCACTACTTGGGACCATGAAAACTTTTCTGTCTGTGCCCCTGATTTGGTTGCTGAATGAACATACCAATACTAGGAATTCTCACTTTGGATTTTTGTGGATATAAATGACATGCAGCTCCAAGTCTGACACTCAGCTCCAAGAGCCAAGAGTGCACTGCTTGGCACATACAAAGGCTGGGAACAAATTAGAATACACATGATGCAAAGCAGAGACATCACCCACCTGCAAACCTTCCCATATTTTATTGGAACCTAGCCCACTACCTGCAAGGCCTTTATGCACTGTCTTAGTTACTTTTCTATCATTTCTGAGACAAAATACCCAACACCCAAAGTGAATCGGGAAAAGGTTTATTTCACTCAGTTTATAGAGGTTTCAATCTGTAATCAGCTGGCTCCAAGGCAGGGCAGCATGGCAGAGAAGAAACAGTTCATGGTGGGCAACAGGTAGCAAAGCAAGCAAACAAGGGGATTTAGCAGCTTCTTTCTGCCTCATTTATATTCTAGTTTACCTGGATTAGAGTGGTAGCAAACCAACCAGTAGACTGATTTGGTAATCACACACCCTTATTCCCAGTGTCATACATTCTAGATTCAGCCACTTCTGAAAAAGCCCTATGACCACAAGAGGCTTTGGGGGGACATCTAGACACAAACTACAACATGTACTTCCCCTGCATGTCCTGAGTGACCTCAGGCAGGTGTCAGGACACAAAATAAGAAAGCCAAATGTAGCTCTTGTTGTTAAACGAGTGACAGACACGTGACTTACCCACTTGTCTTCAAGTGCACTCCCATTTGGGATACAAGACAAAATTCACCCTCAAATCAAGCATTTCACTTTTCCTATAAATCCAAAAATATAGAAAGGCATACAGCAAGGGGGAACAAAGGGGTGGTGCAGCCTTTAGGACCTTCTCTGTGTCATGATTTTTTTTTTCTTCTTTCTGATACTAGGAATTGTACCCAAACATTTCACACTTGAGCTGCATCCCCAAATATATCTACCTTGCTTTCTTTTCCTTTCTACTTCACTACCCCTCCCTCTCTTTCTATCTTGCTCTCCCTCTACTCTCTTTCCTCCCCTCTTTTCCCCCTCCTGCCCCATCTCCCTCCCCACTCTTTTCCCTCTCCATGTACCCTCTCTCTCTCCTTTTCTTTCTCTCCTCTCATCCCCTCCCTTTTCCCCCTTCTCTTCCATTCTCTGTTGGATAAGCAAACATCTCTTCCTTTGTCTCTTTTTCTCTGTCTCTCTTTCTAGTCATGTTCTCCCTAAATCACTAAAGTACCCAGGCTGGGATTTAGCTCAAACTGAGATCCTCTTTGTCTGCCTCCCAGACTGCTAGGGTTAAAGAAGTGCACCAGTACCTGTTTCTCTATCACTTGTCTCTATGTTGGTACATTTTTCAGCTTTGGAACAACAGGAGAGGGGTAGGCATGGATGGGTGGGCCTCTGATTCTTGAGGACATGCTTCCCCTGTCACACATATGTAGTATATCAAAACTAAGCACCACAAAATAAAGTCAAATTATGGTGTTGTGAAATAATGCAAATCTCCATAAATTAATTTTCCTAATAGATCTTTAAAGTAGGTATCAAACTCACAACTGCACACTTGTAAGGCAGGTGTTTATGCCACTGAACTAAATCCCTGGCTCTTTAAGGTTGTTAACAAAATGCCTATAATATTTCTAAAATACATACAGTTGTAAGAAAATAAAAGTTGCTGTGACCTCATGAAAAGGAAATTCCAAGCGAAATTATGAGACTGAGTTTCACTTCTAACATTAGCAAAGATTTCAGATTGATATTTCTATCCTTGCCAATACTGAATGACATCTCTCATAGCCTACTGCTAAGAATACCAATTAGTAAAATAGAGCTAAGAGGTAATTTGACATTTTCCATCAAAATAGTATGTATGTGGACAGTGGTAATAGTTTCATGCCTCTGCAAATCTACAAAAAAAATCAATGAATTATACCCTTAAAATAGAATAATTTGGCAGGCGTGATGGCAAAGACCTCTAATCCTGGATACTTGGGAGGCTAATGCAGGAAGACCATAAGTTCGAGGATAATTGGGGAACTTAGTAAGCACCTGCCTTAGAATAAAATAAAAGGCTGAGGATATAGCTCAGTTTATGGTAAATTGCTTGCCCAGTACAGCCAAAAAAGTTTAAATATATATATTCTAAGTCGTTAACTTGCCCTGGGTTGGAACAGAACCTGAAATCCTCCTGCTTCTGCCTCCCAGAGTACTGAGATTAGAGGTAGGTATCAATATTCTCTTTTATGTCACTATATTTTTTTGTTGATCCCAAAACTTTCTAATTTAGAACCAACAAAAGAAGGATGGGCCTAGATTGGCAGAGGCCTCTGACTCTTGAGGATCCCCTTCCCCTGGCACACACATGCACAAGATGGACGCCCTCAAAAAAAAAAAAAAAAAAAAAAAGATGGCCGCCCTCCACCAGGCTCCGGAGCAGGAGAAGGGATGGGCACGCGCCCTTGAAGCCACTTCTTGCAGAGTGGATAAAGGCCCACATCAAGGAGTACCTGGCATCAGCCTTTGCCATCCTTCATGGAGGTTTGCCCGCCGCCTCTGGAAGAAGGCCAAAGCCCGGTTCAGAAGCCTCAGCATGTCGCCCTCACCACACACCGGGACGCCGCCTTCAACAGAAGGAGCACAAGGACTCCTGGCTGGGTCTTGGCAGCCTCAGGTCACTGGGACCAGACGACTATACTGCCTCAGCCTCTGTGAGGCTTAACCGAGACCCTAGTAATGAGTCCTAGGGGAGACCCAAGGACACCCCGTCACCACAGGAGTTGAAGGTGGCGGTTGAACTCCTTCGCCGGAAGGGCGGGCCCTTAAGGGTTATTGCTTGGTCAGCCCAGTCAATGAGGTTGCAGTGAATGGTCACATGAGACTTATGCCCAATAGGAGGCAGTGGGTGGGGAAATCATAGCTCCTCCCATCAAAATGGAGGGAACACCTTGAGAAAACCCCCCCCCCCAGCTTCACTCATTCAGTCTCTGTGAAGTAGGACAGAGTCCCTTGTAAATGGAACTCAGAGAACTAGGGACACAGTACAACTACAGGTGATCAAAGGTGCCCTTAAAATCTCCCTCTCCAGAAGGGCATTTGCAAGGTTTTGGCCTTCCTCAGTTCAGCCAATGGTCTTGGTGGTAGGTGAAGCCCGTGAGTGGTCATGTGGGCACCTATGGCCAATAAGAAGTGGTAGGCGGGTAAATCATGGCTCCTCCCCTAAAAGCTGAAGGCCTCGAAGTTAGGTCTGGAAAATGATTTTGGGCTGAGCCTCTGATGTGTTCTCAGGGAAATGTTGGGCGAGCATGTTCTCTTGTGTGATCCCCTTGAAGGACTACAGACCTGGTTTGGAAAGTGTGGCAGAAACCTGTGTGTATATGTGTTTGTGGGGGACCAGACTGATACTTAGTTTGCGGACTGGGCTCACAGTGGGTAGTCAGCGATTACTCTTCAGCCCCGATATGTGGGGCATCCTGTAGGCATGTAACATTTCCTCAGTGTCTGTTTTTTTCTCTTTAATACTAGCACTCTCTTTATATATCCCAGTAGTAATTTATCAGAGAATTATTTGATGATGGTTGTGTTTTGTGCAATGCGCTTGAAGTGTCACTGGATTTAGAGTATCACCAGAGGCTGCAGAATGGACTTGGACAGCAGTAGGTCATGAAGGGCGTTTAGAGAGCATGGCCTGTCCATTCAATGAGTCAGTATGAAAATCATGAGGCAGGAGAAAGAAAAGTGAGTTGGTAACACATTGCTGGGCATTGTTCTGAATCCATTACGCGTGATAACCAATTTAATCCTCAAAGCTCTGCAAGACAGAGATTATTATTGCTTTTTTTGGTAAACGAAAACTCCAAGGCAACAGGAATTTGAGCCACTTGCCTAGGGGAAAACGTGGATTTTGGTTCAAATATCCTGTCTCTGTCATTGGCATGTGTAAGTTCAGTGTCATACTTAGGGCCCATGTTATTTTTTTTTTTTAACTTACTGAGTGTACACTCATCCTTAAACTATTTACTGCCTTCCTTTAAGAAAAATTCCCTACGTAGAGGTAAAGACCCCGGGGAAAGGGATGTTTAGTAAATCAAAATAAGTTTAGATATGTCTGGCCACTCAGAAATGTGATAGAAGGATGGGATTCACATGGTTGAAGTACTATTAGGAATCTTTAAGGTAGGAATCTTTAAGCAAGGCTCCTTGACTACAATCCTGGGTGATGGTGAAATATACCAGTGTGGCTCACGGCATTTGCTGAGGAGAGTGCCCATTTACTTTGTCAGATTTTCAAAGCCTGCCTATGCCTCAGGCTCTCAGAATAAAATTATGAAATTTTAATGCTCTGAGTTTTGGGGGGATACATTTAGAAAAGTATGTGGAAGGCAGCAAAATATATTGTTTTAAGGTCACCATTAAGAAAATAAAAAGAAGTTGGCTATATTGAACCATGCCTGTAATCTTAGTTCCTGTGGAAGATGAGGCAGGAGGATCAAAAGTTAGAGACTAGCCTGGACAATTTAGTGACAGTGCCACCCTGTTTTAAAAAGAAAAGCTTAAAAATAGCTGGGTGTGTAGCTCAGTGAAAAGACTCTGGGTTCAATGTCAAATATGAGAAAAAGACAGAGGGAGAGAGACAGAGAAAACGGAATAAATAGGTAAGCCACAGGTTAGCTAAAACTTTTTACAAAATGGCTGTTAGATGAAAGACTTGGATATAGAATGCACATAGTATCCAGAATAATACATATTGCATATAATATGTGAAATAATATAATGTCTGTAATTATAGCAGAATAAGACAAACATTTCAATAAAAGGAGCAACAAGTTTCAATAGTTCACTGAAGAAACTGCGTACATGATCAATGATGACCTAAAACTATGTTCATGCATCATAAATCATTAGGGGGAATGGATATTCAAATTACAAGGAAATACTGTTCACTATACACCATAAAAAGTGTAAAATTAAAAACTCCTACTGAACAAATGTTGGCAGAGATATAGAGCAACTGAAACTCATGCCCTTCTGTGGAGAATGTGAACTCATATAACCACCATGGAGACCAGTGTGCCAATTACTTGAAAATCTAAACACACCCTTCTTCACATTGCCTGGTAATCACACTGTGATAGTTACCACAAAGAAAAGAAAAAATGTGTCCATATAAAGGTTTGCACAGAAATATTCAAAGCAGCTCCATGCTGAGGGACTAGTTGAATAGTACAGTGCTTGCTTAGTATGCATGGTACCCTGGGTTCCAACACCCGCACTGCAAAGTAATGATAATGATAATGACAATAATGAGAGTAAAAACAGCAACAATAACAATGATAGTGATAGCAGCACCTTCCCTCATAGTTGCCCAAGTTGGAAACTATATAAATGTCTGTGCAGAGGTGAATGGATTAAAAATTGATCGTAAGAAATAAATAAAAATTGATATATGTCCATACAATTGAATGTTCATTAATCAACAATATATACAAATACCTACTCATAAACGTTACAAATACTATGAACTGAGCTTCTCAAGGAGATCAAGATCATAGCTTTATCCTGCAGTGGAATATAAGCAGAAGAGTAGGGGCAAAGTGGCCAAAAGGAGTTAATAAATCTAGGAAGAGCAGAACAGTGCAAAGAGAAGCCAGATGCTTCAGGGCCAAGATGATCAGTGTGAAGAGAAGGAATTCATAGACTTTGGTTGCAAAGCAGAGGAAAATGGGAAGTAAAGTGGCCCTAAGAGTCTGCTAGGACTCAGTCATCTACCTTAGAAAGTAGCATGTCTACTCCAACATGGAGAAATTGCTTTGACGAGATCCAACTGAGGCTTCTTTACCAGGCCAGCACTCCAGAAGGAGGGAGCACTCTGTCTCCCTAGATTTCTTCTCAGTCCAACACTGGAAAAGCTAGTCAATCTCATTAGTGTGGTGTCTCTAGAGAGGAAATCATGGGGGCTCCTCATGATGGCAGGGTGCAGGGAAAAGCATTGTGACCACAAAAGTTCTTTGTAAGTGCTTAACCACCATCTATTTAGTTTTGGGAATTAAGTATTAACAAAAGAAAAGGTGAAGTCATTTCAGAAACCAAAGGACTGAAGAATAGAGAGAACAGTTTTCTAACTTAACCCTTTTGGGAAGTTCAGCCAGACAAACAAATCGTAAACAAGGAGAGCACAAGGCAGCCTTTCAGAGTAATGTAAAAAAGTCCAGGGGCTGGGGATTTAGCTCAGCGGCATAAGTGCCTGCCTTGCAAGCAGGCAGTTGTGAGTTCGATCCCCGGTACTGATAAAAAGGAAAAAGAGAAAAAAAAAAAAAAGTCCAGTGTATAGAGGGATGTCCCCACAGTTACCAGACTCACAATGTGACCATAGAAAGCAGGTTGGCCTCTCTTGAGCAGGAAAGGGAAAAGGTTAATGGACACAGAATGTGTGATGACTCCATGGGCATGAAGAAAATAACTCCCAGCCTGTTCTTCCTCTTTCAGAGTTCCCCAGAAGATGCCAAAGATGGCCAGTTCTAGGGCCCCAGGAGTATCAAAGTGAGATTCTTTTTCAATGTAGGAACTCCTTGCTTACCACTTCTATGCCATCCACTCACTCTCCTAGCCTTCACTTGGTCATGCTGGGTCAGTGTCCAAGCTCCAGGGATGAAATGTATAAAGGATATTGGCTGAATTTCTTTATTATTATTTTTTAAATTTTATTTTAAGGATAGTAAAATACAACAAAAAAAGAGAACAAAGCTAATCAAGACAATGCAGTGAAAGTGGTACAAAACTTCAGAGCAGGATACTGGGATAACAATAAAGCTACCATAGTATATCTTGTCATCTTCACAATAGATGTTCACTCAATTAGGTATAGTAAAATCAAGCCAAAGACAGAACACTATAAAACCAATCAAAACAGAATATTGAATAGAGTTGCAGTGTGGCTGATTCTTGGGAGATGCTGACTTATTCTTTCTTGGTTGAATTTCTGATTCAACTCTTAGCTTTCTGTTTGAGCACAGGTTGCCACATAATCTCAGAGTCCCATGTATTGGAGTCCTAGGCCAAATGTCTGGTTCTAGGGCTATCTGGTGCCTCATCTGCTACGTCTAGAAGTGAATTAAGAAAATGAGAAGTGCGGGTGAAACAGGAAAGAAATGTTTTCATTTGGGCCGAATCACTAAGATAGTTCAGAAAACTGCCTTTGTTTTCAGAAAACAGCTGCAGTTTTAAAGGAGACTCTTTTACAACTATGCTTTGGGTCATGCTAGGTCAGTGATGGCAAAGCTTGTAGGGAATGAGTGTCCAAACTGCAACTCAAAACCCTCTTATTTATTACGAAGTGCCAGTACTGCAAATAAACATGTGTATCCAGTGCTTGGCTGCCGGAGTGACTTGGCTTGCATGCTGACAGTGAAGGCTCTGCATACTGGCTGCAGCACACATGCCATAGGTTCATCAGGACTGCTCTAGGTACTACAGTTGAGGAAATGCAATTACAAACAAAATCTTCTCCCAACACAGAACACCTCTCCATAAAGGTAGTAGAAAAAGAGAATAATTTTTTAATTAAATGTACGTGAAACCAAAATGTGATGTATATC